TATAGGTTTACCAATTGTTGTTACCGTGACTCTGGCACTTGGCGTCATGAGAATGGCGAAACGCAATGCTATTGTCAAGAAGTTACCAACGGTCGAGACTTTGGGATGCGTGAATGTGATTTGTTCGGACAAGACGGGCACCATAACCAGGAATGAGATGACCGTCACCGTCCTGTTTACATCTGATGGCTATTTGGCGGAATTAACTGGAGCCGGATACAACGATCACGGCCAAGTAGTTCTGCACAAATGCGATTCACATGACGAAGCTCGTGAAAGCGTTTATAAGCTGTTAGAAGTAAGTCCATTAACTTTCTACCTAATTATATATTACCTTCTTCAATCAATAATACATTGATTCATAAGCAGAAGTTTAAATATATCAATAATATTGATATTTATAGATGTATCTAATATTTAAATATATTTTTGATTACTTCAAATGTTCATTAAATTTAACAAATTTTAGATATCAAGATACTTAAAAAAACAATCAAATGAAACATTTATCATTTCTTAGTTTTATAAGTATGTTAATTATAATTAAATAAATCACACACTACTAAATATCATAACAATATAATTTAAGCTCTACTTGCGAAGTAGGCAAATTAGACTAATTACTTGCAATTTTGCATAATTAAATCATTTTTACCTCCACGTTTGTTACGTGGAATTATTCTATTCAATGACTCCACCCCAAACTTCATATTGATTTTATGCTGACCACACCCTGGTCGTTCCACAGCACTGATATTATTTATCCTCCAAATATGTTTAACTTATTTTAGACTTATTTTTTATGATGCCAACTAATAATATAATACACATAATATAACGAATTGTAACGTTACAATTGATCCAAATATTCGTCCATTTAAATCGGATTCAAATGTTCTCTATAGTCAACATCGAAATCTAGCTTCTAGTTTAGTCGTTTATTTATTTTAAAGATATTATATTCTCATTTCTGCACTACTTTTAATTAATGGATATTCTTCTCTTTCATTATGTTCGTGTGGCTGTGTTTTCGTGTGACTTTATTAATGTATGATTTTAAGTACATTGTCTTCAATTATATCTATATCAGTCATGTATTATATGATATATCTAATATTTTCTTCCAGGTAGGTGCTGTGTGCAACAACGCATTGATCCAAAATGAGTCGTTGATGGGACAACCAACAGAAGGAGCTTTACTAGCCGCCGCAATGAAACATGGAATGTACAATGTTTCGGACAGATACGTTCGTTTGCAAGAATATCCATTTAGTTCTGAACAGAAGATGATGGCCGTGAAATGCGTGCCCAGATATGACGATGATAAGCAAGAAGTGTTCTTTGTGAAAGGAGCAATCGAAAAAGTATTACCAAAGTGTCCGAAATTCTCACAGGGAGGACAACTGGTCGCGTTGAATACAAAGAAAGAGCAAGAGTTTCTTGCGGAAGCTCACGAGATTGCTCGCAAAGGTTTGAGGGTTGTTGCCATGGCCAAAGGAAGTACACTTCAGGATCTTGTTTTTATGGGCATCGTTGGCATATGTGACCCGCCCAGACCTTATGTCAGGGAGAGTATTACCACATTGATACAGTCTGGTGTTCAAGTGAAGATGGTTACTGGTGATGCCAAAGAGACAGCAGTTGCCATTTCACAGATGATTGGTTTGGATACCTTACATTCCCAAATATTGTCCGGTGAGCAGCTGGATAAATTTTCAGAAGTCGAGCTGGACGCAGCGGTTCCCCTAGCTTCGGTTTTCTATCGCGTATCTCCTAAGAACAAATTGTCGATTGTAAAATCGCTGCAAAGGACCGGGCATATTGTTGGAATGACTGGCGATGGCGTCAATGATGGGGTAGCTCTTAAAGTAGCTGATATCGGTATTGCCATGGGCAGAAATGGAACTGACGTTTGCAAAGAGGCGGCTGACATGATTTTAGTAGACGACGATTTCCACACGATTATGTAAGTGTACAAGAAGTAATAGTACTCTTCATTATTTACAATATATTTTTCTTTAGTTCTGCAATCGAAGAAGGGAAAAGCATATTC